CCCCAGCCCCAGAGACACCCCCTCGCCCCACTGCGCCCCAGCCCCTGATGTCACAGGGTGCATCGTGTGTTAATTCTGGGTCTGCTGCATGTTCAGTTTATAAACTGCAACAAGGACTCACTCTAATTAGCTTAATGAGTGATTAGTCGCATATGGTGCCCATGGTAGATGCATTGGGAATCGTCTATTTTAAATGCATGAACATTTATATTCCCCCTCCCCCGGACACCACACACTGTTGTCAGGCTGCCTTTGACCCTGTTGGAGCCTTGGGCACCCACACTCCTTTATTTTCTCAGACCCGCCTCTCTCTCAGGTTCCCCAGATCCTCTGGGCAGCTCATACAATCCCTCACTCTTTGTCCCCAGTGGGTTAACCTCCCTCAGGTTCCCTCTCCAGGGCCAAACCTCAGTTGCTGCCCCCTGGCCTCACCACCTCAGCCTCTCATCCCCGTTATCCCCTGGCCCTCTCTGCAGCCATGTGCTGCCTGTCAGTGACCCCACAAAGTTGGCTCTTGCAGAGAGGTGTTCCAGGCCTCCAATAAATGTGCTTCTAAGATTCCTGCCCTGGGTTTTTTCTCATCACTCTCTTGGGTTTGATTTTAATATATTTATTCCCTGAGAAGCCTCTACACCCCTGGTGTCCCAACGCGCTAGCCACTAGCCATATGTGGCTATTTGGCTGGTTGAGTGTGGCTAGTTGGCTCACAAAATTATTTACATTTTCAGAATAATGTGGCTGGTTTGCTGTTTTAGTGGCTCCTGCTTCAGAACTGGTTGGACACCATGGCTCTACACTGACTCTACTTAGTGTCCCAAAATGAGACTAACCACTAAATTATAACCAAAAGCTTTGTCCGGTGGAAAAAAACATCTCTCTGAATATCCATGTAGAAACTGGTGTCTGATTGCAGGGGTGACCATAACGGTTGTGTGTGTAAGTAACAGGCCTCGACAGGCTCCAAAATCTCTTAACATTTTTCAGCAAGAATCTGAATCTCCTCCCCTCAGCGGGGTAGCCCTTTGTATGATGGTGAATTTTTGCATCTGGTTTGGGCCTGTAGACAGGCTGAGATGTTGGTTACTCCTCTGCCTGGAAGGGACTGGGGACTTTCGGGACAGGAAGTATTAAATGAGGCTTGGGGTGATCCCTCCATCTCACTCAAGAGGAAGAAGTGTGTGGTTGGGGGGGAATCACATGAATTATTTGGTAACTTCACTTTTCAATGCATACTATTCCTATAAACACAAATAATGGGCACTGGCTTAACCTTTTCCTTTCTCTTTCTAGAAGATGAAAGAAATGAGCTGACATGTCAGAAAACCATCATCTGTCTTGCCTGGCCTTTGGCCAGGCAGTGATTGGGCCACCTGGCTCGGGGAAGACCACTTACTGCTTTGGCATGCAGGAATTCATGTCCAAGATAGGGCGGAAGGTGGCTGTGGTGAATTTGGACCCAGCTAATGAAGGAACTCCCTATCAGTGCGCCGTGGACATCTCTGAGCTTATCACTCTGGCTGATGTGATGGATAATCTAAAGCTTGGGCCAAACGGTGGTTTGATCTATTGCATGGAGTACCTGGAAGCTAACTTTGACTGGTTGCAGGAAAAGCTGGCTAAACTCAAGGGTCATTATTTTTTGTTTGACTGCCCAGGGCAAGTAGAGCTCTGCACCCACCACGGCGCATTGAAAAACGTCTTTGCACAGTTAGCTAAGTGGAATTTCAGGGTAGGTTTTGGGGTTTTGTGTATACTAACAAGTTGGTGTAGCACAAGGCACAAAAAGGACTTGCCCAAGACCACCCAGCAAGGTTAAAAAAAAATAGAATGCAGGGCTGTTCCCTCCCAGTCCTTTGCTCTACTTAGTGTGTCTTCCTGCAAAGTTTGACATGTTTGAAACATTGTAGAAAGGGAAGAATGTTTGTATGCCTGATTACTAGGGAGCTTTAGGATTTTATCCTAAGAAATTCAAATTATCTTCCAAGATGTGTAAGTTAGATTTCATTCAGTTAACACAAGTTGTGGTGCAAATTGTATTTTCATGGATTTGATGCAAACATGTACATTCTTGTACGTTGGAACACTCAAGCTAGCAAATATACAAGTGAAGGTTTCCATGGCAAGCTAGTTTTGTTTACATTACATATATAGCTCATACAGGCAGTCCGGCTTACGTACAAGATAGGGACTGTAGGTTTGTTCTTAAGTTGAATTTGTATGTAAGTCGGAACTGGTACATATTGTAGGGGAAACTCTAGCCAAACATTTCTCCAGAGCTCAGTTTTATTCTCCCACACCTCACTTCCCTCAGTCCTTTATTCTCAAGCTGAGGTGTCTGCTGAGAAAAGCCGCTCCGCGTCTCCCTGGTCTGCTGGGGGGAGGGGAGGGGGCGCTAGCTTCGCGTCTCCCTGGTCTGCTGGGAGGAAGCAGCTAGTGCGGGGTTGCCTCACCCCGTTTGTAAGTAGGGATCCGATGTAAGTCGGATCCATGTAACGTGGGGACTGCCTGTACTTCGAATTACTGGCTAGATCATTAATGTATAGGCAATATACTGTACAATTGAGGATAAAATAATTTTACTTGAGAACCTTATTTAAATCTTAACTTTTGCATTTATTTGATATTTCATTTGCATAGTTCTTTGTATTTCATTTTTATCCTTTTTGAAATAAAGAAAAATCATAGCTCTAAAGCTATAGCTGTGCCTAGTTGAGTTCAGTATGCTATAGATACGGGGGAAAATCTAGCTGTTGACACAATAGAATTATATAATGTGGCGCTTTACATCTGTACAATTTCATAGTACAAACTGCACTGTGACTGTTGCTTCTAGAAAAGCTTAATAGTAACAAAGTAATTTGAGGTTGAGTTATTTGGGTGTGAATATTTCTGTAGGAACAGTGGAAAAATTGTATATAGCCCAATAATTGAAAACTGGATTTAACACAGACTTCCTTCATCTTTGGGCTGAGAACAATCATGGAAAGTTTCAGCCTCAAAAGAAAGATGTTCTGAACAAGATAAAGTGAAGAGAGGGGGGCTGAAGGGGAACAGTTGTTGGTGAAAGATTGGCACTTCTATAATAATTCTTTGTCCATAGATGCCAAAGTGCTTTTTAAATGTGGGTCAGTATCATTATCCCCATTGTACAGATGAGGAAAGTGAGACATAACAAAGTGATTTTCACCAGGACATTCAGCAAATCAGTGACAGAGATGGGAAAACAATCCAGGTCTCCTGACTCTTCGGTCGCTGTCCTACACAGTGCAACATGCTTAGTGGGCCGTATGTGAAACATCTAGGGAGAAGTTGGCTAATGCTTTTTTTATTAGAACTGCTGGGGCCTGGACACCTTTACTTTTGGTCTGTGTCATGGATTTGCCTTAGTGACAGCTGTGTATTTGCGTAGGCAGATTCTGCCCTGCCTCAGATCTTGCACTATTTCACTCTCATTTCCATTGTGCAGTTGGCTGCAGTTCATTTGGTGGATTCTCACTACTGCACAGACCCAGGAAAGTTCATCTCGGTTCTTTGCACCTCCCTCTCAACCATGCTGCATGTCGAATTGCCCCATGTCAACGTTCTCTCCAAGATGGACCTGATCGAACAGTACGGCAAGCTGGGTACGAGCCTTTGGGAAGGGGCTTTGGTGGAAGGAAAGTGCTGTGGATCTAGCAAAGAGGCAGGGAACAGAAAGGAAGAGCTTGGAGCTGACTCTTATCAGAGACAGAGCAATCTGATCACTGGTAACGCTGCGGATGCTGGACAGGAAAAGTACATAACAGCTCACTGAGTTCTTGGTGAAATATTCTGGCCAGTGCAGTTAGTGGCGTGCTTGGGCACTCTCATAAGCCTCTACAGCCAGTCATTAAGAAAAAGGAGGCTCTAAAGTGGCCATGGACTATACTGGCAGCACAATAGACCCATCTGTGCTTTCTTCTGCCTTTTCTGTTCCATCCAGTCGTCCGCTTCCTGTCTCTGCCATGTCATACCCCCAGCCACTAGGGATGTTAGGAGGCATGTAATTTGGTAATCGTGTAGCTGACAAAAGTTTTGTCATTTACTCCATTAACCAGTAAGTGGCTCTGCATTTAAAGGAGCTTGCAAAGATTTTGAGAGCTGACAAACAGGCACCCTGGCTCAATCTTGGCTTGCATCAGGTCCTGGCAGCTGCCCTGCTGCGGCTCTGCATTTAAAGTAAATCCTTTTAAATGCAGAGCCGCCGCAGCGATAGCTGTCGGGACCTGGCGTGAGCCAGCATTAAGCCAGCCAGCTCCCAAAATACTTTAAATGCAGAGCCTGGGGGGAAGGGGAGATTTGTATGCAGCCAGTAGCATTAACCAATAAGCATCCACTTATCGGTTAACCGGCTACACTATTACATACCTACTTGCCACTCTTGGAGCCAGATTCAATGAGTTGAAGTGCGTCTAAACTGGTGTAGCATCTTTACCACGTATTAAAAACCAACTGGAACTCAGTGGGCCAGATGTGTAAGGTGGGGAGGTTAGTTATGCATTGGGGGTGGGTGCAAATCGGTAAGAGTCCCGGTTGCAGTAATTTATTTGTTGAGGGGTCTGGAAGTTGGTGTACCTGCCACCATTCTAGATGTGATTAGATTTGCCTGCTCTCCCCTCTGCAGCCCCTGCCACCTGGAACAGCCTTTCTCCATCTCTCCACATGGTTTTAAATCTCATCTTCACATCTTAATTCCCTCTCTGCTCTGTGTCAGTTTGTATCTGTCTCTAACAGTGCACTGGGCTACAGTGTGAATGAGATGCTACACAAAATAGTCCTATTGTACCTGTTGGGGGAACTCAGTGCCAGTGGGATTGCTGGGGAGATGACTGCCCCCCCTCCCCCCCGTGGGGCAGAGAGATGCCATTCACCCGGCTGTGTTGCGTAGTCTCATTGCTGGTAGGCTGGCATTGGCGCCTTTGAAGAGAGAGCTTGCCCTGGTAGCCACACAAATGAGTTAGTGTGTAACAGAGCACGTTCCAATGGGAAAGAAAGGGGTGAGCCAGGGTCCCCCACTGCCAAATCGGTACTTGAGATGCAGCCCCTGAAAGCTAGCCCTAAAGCCATGTCTCTTGTCTTTCCTTGCAGCCTTCAACCTGGATTATTATACTGAGGTTCTGGATCTCTCTTATCTAGTAGACCATTTAGCAGCCGATCCGTTCTTCAAGAACTACCGTCGCCTCAACGAGAAGTTGGTGGAGGTGATTGAGGACTACAGCCTGGTCTCCTTTGTTCCACTCAATGTCCAGGTAAATGGGTTGGAAATGACAGGGAACGTGTTGCAAGTAGCTGTGTGGTTTATGAACTGTCCATCCTAAGTGTCTGGGTTTTCTAAAAGGGCCGTGTTCTCCCAGTGAGCGCGTGACAAAATCCCTTGTGTCACTGCTGTTTTCTAGACTTTACTGCTGTACTTCACACAGCCAGTTTGGCAGCTCTATTTCTGTAGCACTGCATAAGCACCCTTATGTAGCTCTCACATAGCTCCCTCCTCCACAGCCCTGTACTACACATGCAAGTAGAGATAGTAGCCACGCTGATTTAGTGACTTCAGTAATGATCTAGAAGAGGGCTTGGAGACCAGTGCAGCTCAGATGGTGCTAATCTTGGAGGGATTGCAAACCTGGTCAGGACCGAGACATACAGAAGGGAGCTATAGAAAGTGGAAAACGTGAGCTGAAAATAACAAATTGAATCTCCAGAGCGGCCATACTGGGTCAGACCAATGGTCCTCCTAGCCCAGTGTCCTGTCTGCCGACAGTGGCCAGTGCCAGATGCCCCAGAGGGAGGGAACCCAACAAGGAATCCTCACGTGATCCCTCCCCTGTCACCCACCTCCAGACAAATAGAGGCAAGGGATGCCATTCCAACCCTAAATATTGTCTGTTAGGTTTTTTCTGTGATGCTGCAGCTGTGCACTCCGGAAAATTAGTTCCTGAGTTTGTCGCTGCAGCTGTTGTGCACTCCGGAAAATTAGTTCCTGAGTTTGTGTTGACATTTTTGGCTGTTATCTTGGTAGAGTCACTAGCCAACGGCTGCCACTGGCATCCTGAGCCCTCATACACCGTTCCTTGTGTGAAGGGATCTGCACTGGAGCGGTTTCAGTTTCTCCCCATCTCTCTCCGTCCAAAGCCTTGAACCTCAGCGTCGCTGCTGTTGGGAGCTGCATGCAGACCTGATCCCCTAATAGAAGGGAATAGCTTTCTGGGGGAATTGCAGCCGAGTGTCCAGCGAATGCTTTGCACCCCACCGAAAGCTCAGGCTGCTGGGCTGTTTCTTATGAATGCTGCTTCTCATTCTCTCCCCTGCTGCCTGTCACTTCCCAGGACAAGGACAGTATGCGACGGGTGATGCAGGCAGTGGACAAAGCCAACGGCTACTCCTTTGGCGACGTGGAGCAGAGAAGCCTTGATGCCTTGATGTCTGCAGCAATGGGAGCTGATTTCCACTTCACCTCGTATCCTTTCCGCTGCCCTTCTCTCCTGTGTGGAGTCTTGAGCTCTGACTTGTGGCTCCGGGGACGTGATACGGGCCTGTCTGAGTGCAGGGTGCATTATTCGTATTGATGTCTGGTGCTGTGTAATGGCATGTGTGCAATGAGCTGTCGGTCTTAGCTCAGGTCCTAGTGGCAAAGCATCCACATCAAAACCGCCACGGCCACAGTTGACACTAATTGGAATCGTGGGGTTCTCATTGGCTGCATCTCTCTCATTCATGTTCACTGGGTTCATTCCTTCCACATAGCGTCATTATTGGAATGAATGACGCTTTGTTTGGACCAGCACAAGCTACAGATACCTTGAGTGTTGCATCTTCTTACCAGTGCTGCTAGTTTCCATGTTAGCTTTCAGGCTGATGTGGAAGACCAGTTCTTGGATGAGAATGTTAATGGTTCCTCTGCCATTCTTCTCTCTCTCTCTCTCTCTCACTCACACTCTCACACTCACACTCACACTCACACCCGACTGAACCCAGAGGCCAGGCTGACAGCAAGCAGGGAGTTGGGGTTCCTCTGGGGCTTGGCTTGCAGGACTGAACCCAGAGTTCCAATGGCCAGAGCCCCCTTCTTACACGTGTCAATTCCCATTGGAGTCTGTGGGGTTTGCAGCATCACGCTGCAAACATCCACCCTTAAGAGGCGTTAATCTGTGTTGTCCAGAGTTATCCTTTGATGGTGATTGTCCAGCTTCCCAGCATTGTCTCTCGACCTTGGGCTATGTCTACACTTACAGCTTCTTGCGCAAGTATGGCCGTTCTTGCGCAAGAATCCGCAGAGCATCCACACTGCCCGCCCGCTCTTGCACAAGGATATTTACAGTAGGGCGTGGTAAGAGAGGGCTCCTTGAGCAAGAGCTACGCTCTTTTTTAACAGGTGTAAACCCCCTTGCGCAGGGGCTCTTACGCAAGAGGGCAGTGTGGACGCTCCGCAGGGGTTTCTTGCGCAAGAAAGCATCCACACTGCCATGGGTGCTCTTGCACAAAAGCACATCTCGCGCACTGCAGTTTTACACAATACTTCTTGCACAAGAACCCTTCCGCAAGATGTTCTTGCACAAGAAGCCGCCACTGTAGACATACCCTTGGTGGGGGTCTCTGCCTGTTGTCAGTGCTGCTAATTTAATTCAGCCTCAAGACACAATGCATGTTTCCTCGTTATCTTCAAAGTTTCCACTTCTTCTTGATCATTTGGGCATCTGTGAAGGCTGTCACACTCGCACCTCCTCCACTCACACCATACACTTGTACAGAGTTTCAGACAAGATCAGTAGTTACTAGAAGACACAACTTAGTTTGTGATGCAGACAAGGGGTACAACTTAATTTGTAATGCTAACAGGGAGCAAGGCCTTACAGTAAACGGTATCTAATCATGAGAGTCAAAGAGAGAGAAATAGAAGCAGACAGAACTTACAAGCAAGTCATTAGACATGAAATCATTACGGATCATACTTAGTCGTGTAACCAATGCTAACCAATACTAAAATATACACTTTTGGATGTTTTGAACACCAGCTCTTCTTGCTGCCTTGTTTTCCTTGATTCCTGGTTGAACAGCACACTTGCAGTCCAGGAGAAGTATGTGCAGCCTCAGGAGAAAACTGTGGAGCAGGAAGCAATGGAAATCTAGCACTTGTGTGTCTTTCACTAGGCCTGTTGTGGAAGGAGCTCACTGCCTGCTTTAAACATGTTTCACCGCTTCCCACCAGGAGCACAAGGGACCCTCCGTGTAGCGTCACTAGGACCCGGTACTTCCTGGGCAGAAGTCAAGCTCTTTGTACGACTGTGTCCGGGTCCTGTTGTGTATGAGATGTGTTTCTTGGTGACGATGAGACGACGACAAGATAAGGACAAATTCAGTATGTCCTTCCTGGAACAAGAGAGAATCTCAGTCGGATCTGGGACAGCAGCAGCAGCAAACGGCCCTGTAGAGCAGACCAGAAAGAAGTGCCCACTATTGCTGAGTCTCCCCACCCCCCACTATGACCAAAGCCATGTCCCAAGAGAAAGACGAATCCGCATTTACTGCAGGGAAGGAAGCTCCTTGTGGTGTGAGTCCTCCATGTGTTGATTGGTGTATCTGTGGAGTCTCACAGTGAGGTGCATCTCAGAGAGGCAGCCTACTGGCTATTCATCCCTGGGAGAGGGGAGAGGTGTTTAGTGTGCTGGTTTTTCATGATCAGTTCTTAACACAAACTTTTCTCCACCCCTTAGTTTCACCGTGCGTGTCTGAGTTAGCTGTGAACTCCCCTGACGTGGAAAAATACAATAAAATGTGACTGCTGCAAAGCATGGGGGACAGGAAGAGCCATGAATTGGTTCCTTATTGCAGGTGCAGACACTGCTCACCTGTTTGTGTTTAAACCCCTCTGTTCTCTTGTTCCTTATGCGATCTACCTGGAAGCAGAACAGGGGCCTGCTTGGCATGGGGTGGAAGAAAGGTGGTCACTTCCTGTGGGCGGAGTCTGTCTCTCTGCCCTGCGTGAGGGTCCGTTGCCATGGACCTGTTGTGAGTTCCTGAAAGCTTTGCCCAAACTGTCTTAACATAAGCTCAGAGGCTTGTGGGGAGGAACCTGTGTCAGGCAGCAGAAGACTGTAGCTCCAGGAAGGTCGTAGCAAACCAAAGGAGGTAGAAGCTTCAGGGGGTAGCTGAGTTCATCTGTACAGAAAAAAACCACCAATGGTCTGGTAGCACTTTGTAGACTTAACAACACATGTCGATGGGATCGTGAGCTTTCGTGGGCACAGCCCACTTCTTCAGAAGACGGGAGTAAAGCTGGTAGATGATACCATGTACATGTTCTGTTAAGTCTATAAAGTGCTACCAGACCTTTGTCATAGAAGTTAGGTCTTTCCGCCTCTCGGACGGGTCCTCTATTGTAAGCTCCCTTTGCTATAGCTCTGTCTGCGAGATTGTTCTTCAGCGATCGTCCAGGCTTTTATCCACCCGAGTTTTAAACATCCCGAGCAATGAGATGTCCAGTACTTCCCTTGGGGACTCCTAACCAATTCTGCTGCAATTTGCATCTTCAGCTAGAGCCACAGTGATCAGGTAATTGACTGCTGGTGTCAGCATGCCCATGTGTGCGAGCGCGGCATAACATCTGCATCTGCCCTGAGGGAGGGAGCTTGAGACAGGGGCGTGGTGTTCTTGAAACTGATCCCACCTGGCAGTTAGCACGTAATAAAATGGATTCATTCAAACAGCAGCCTGGCGTGGCTGCCGAGGAAGGTTTTAGAGATGGCAAAGCCTGAGAATGACAAGTTAAGAGACTAAAAACCACAGTGGGCTTCAGTGAAAGAACCAAAATGTTAATAGTCCACCACTCCCAGGTCACGGTTTGTCTCTGTGCCTCGTCCCTGTTTTACAGATAAGGAGCAAGGAGCAGGGGGCCTGCAGCAGAGGGTGTTCAGATATAATGCGGATAGAGGCCAAGTATGTCCCAAAGCTAAAGAAAAGCGGGGTAGTCTTGGAAACAAGGCTGCGGTCTGGCACACAGGAGATCTGGGGTCATCTGCCCTGTCCCTCAGTTTCCCATCTGTAAAACGGGCTGATTGCCCTTCCTGGAGGTTGTGAGGACAGAGTCACTGCTGGGCCTGAGGCACCTGCACACGGGGCAGAGGAGAATCCAGATGGCCTGCACTGATGCGCTTTGGGATTGTGCCTCTGCCTGGTCTGAAATAAGCCCCCTGCTTCCCCCCTGGGCTTTTTAGCAGCCAGGTCTAGGTGTTCACCGTGACTCCCCCAGAATCAGGCTCCCCCCATGGGCCAGGTCCCCGCTGGCTTCCCAGTAAATAGCTCTTGAGACGGGCCCAGCTCTCAGGGCTGATGTTGGGGTGCAGGCTGCATGTCCTAGATCCCGGAGACTCAGGAAAATGCCTGAGCAGCTCAGTCATTTGTGGGGCTGGAGCCGTGTTGCTCCCAGGATATGAGACACGCAGCAGCTGAGGCCTGCTGGTGAGACATGCGCCCTCCCAGCTCAGCTGTGTGGGAAAGGGGCCCCCCTCGGGCAATGTCTGCCTAACCTCGCCCGGCCCCTCTGAGATCAGCAGCCTCCTTTGTCATTCCCGGACGTGTCATTTCCTGTGCACACCTCTGGTCCAGCCTGCTGTGAGCGGGGCGCCAGCAGCAAGGGGCAGGGCCTGCGTCCATGCTCCTGGGAGGGGCGGGGCCATTGGCAGCGATCCCTCCCATGGTGCCCTCCCCAGCCCTCTTGAATCACTGGCCCCCGGGGCAACAGCCCCTTTGGCTCCCCCCTCCCTTTGGCAGGCCTGGCTGTGAGCACTCAGCCAGCAGGAAGCTGCCCTGTGAGCTGGCGTTTTTCTCCTCCAGGTGCTTCCCAGCTGTGGGCGAGACTGGCAGCAAACGCTGTGATGCTGCCCTTCTCTATGGTACCTCCGTCCAGGTGCACCCAGCACCATGGGCCTCGCGGCCCACATCTCCCCAGCCAGCCCCCTTCTCCGAGCCTGGCAGCCCATGTCAGGCCGGGCCTCGTGGCCTCCTGCAGGGCACCTTTGCCCCATCAGCTTGCTCCCTGCGAATGCCCCGGCCACTGTCCTCTGCCAGTTGCCTTCAGTCCAACCCTCCCCACAGCTCTGCCCAGGCCGTCTTTCCCCAGCCTGGGCACCCCGGCTCACGGCCAGTGCCCGCTGCTGATCTCCCAGTGCTGTTCCGGTCCTGGGCAACTGGACAGCCTTGAGGGGCACAACCCATCTGCTGGCTGGATACCCCTGGGAGCCATGGGCTCTCCCGAGGACACTAGACAGCATTAGGCGGCCCTGAGGCTGAACGGCCAGAGAGCTCTGCCCTGTGGGGAAAGGAGGGCAGGCCTGGCTGAACGGGAAAGGGCCCAGGCTCCAGTGAGGCATGATGTCGGCAGGTGCAGTCTGGGTGCTCAGGGGACTTTGATCTGCAGCCTCCACGCCTCTCCCCACTGCAGCGCCGCACTGAGTGGTCACGTGGCCCCGGTCCGCTGCCAACAGAGCAAATCAGCGTGTTCGCGCCCTTCGGGCAGCAGGGGGTGGGGAAGGGAGTGGCTGTGTCCCAAGCGGCTCGGTTTCCTCCTGGCGAGTGTCACCCCCGTGCCCTAGGAGGGTGGCTCAGGCTGTGGATAGTA